GTTGTTTGTTCTGATGTCATTTTGTTCAGCTCTTTCAGACTGAAGAAGTCTCTTGGAGGAGAGACGAAACGTTTCATTAGAGAAGAACCCGTCCAGAAGACCTATACAATTTTTTTCTTTTTGACTTGGTAAAATTGCAGATCCTCAAAAAATTAAGTACTGTGATAAAGTAAATGTACTTTGTTACAGTACACTTTTGATATATTACTTTCCTTTAGTTGTTTGTTCTGATGTCATTTTGTTCAGCTCTTCTGCCCTTTAATGTTTTGGCACTTATTGAAGTCTTTTGTCACTAAAAATGTTTTTTTTACTTCGTTTCATGTTTGATATTTTTGTGTTGGTTTTTGTTTCCCCTTCCATCATGTGTGGTATCTGCTTTAAGTCTTTCCCTTTCCTCTCTTCTTGTAGCTAATCATGTTTAGGTTCAATGAAACTTCGACTGCTTTTGAATTTTTTTAATGGACTTTTTTGTTGTTTTTCAGAATGAAATAAATTAATAAATAAAATGAAATTAAACTTGTTTAGTTTTTTTTAACCACTGGCCTCCTGAGTTTTCTGTGTTTGTAACTAACCATCCAGGTTATCATGGTTATCCATAGGAGAAAGTTATTTCTGTTAACTGAAACTGCTTTATGGTTTGATGGCATCTAAGGGGAATATTTAGCAGTGAGCCTATAAGTGGACACTGTCTCATTGACACTCTGTTGTGACCCTTAACCACRCCACCCTGAATGTGTGTGTGTGGATGGGTGGGCATCATAGGAGTACTGGTTTTTATGGGGGTCAGAGTTTAGTCTTATTGAAGTATAACTTAGCTGAATCAGACATTTTCAGTTTTTTAATAGTATCCCAGTTTTGACAATTGATTACATTTTAATTAGAGTGAAACCCCCATTTCAATAAAATACTCATGTCTCTGGTCATTTGTGTGAAGTTGTGTCCAAATTTTGATCAGCCATTAAAATCTAAAAACAAAGATATATTTGCGCTTTACATTTGAAACAAAAATACAACATTTTCTTCAGGTTTGACAATTAGAAAGTTTTTTTACCCCAGTCTTTATTTTTTCAGTGTCTTCAATAACTTAATTCAAATCCAAAACTTTAAACTCATATCCAAACCATTGAATTCAGTTTCAATTGAGTGATGTTAATTTTTTTATTTAATTTCAAATTGTGCAAATTCAGCTTCAGTCTGAACAATTCACATTCAGTTTCTGATGGCACAAGTTTCTTCCCACAGAATTTTGATTTATTCTGTTGACTTGTGTTTAAGTAACTGCCACTTAAGAAGCATGTTAACTGTCAATATGACGCCAGAAATAAACAAATACCGATTTCTATTTGCCTGTATTTGAAATCGTTAGAATGACTGATTATGAATAAAATGTGTAGCAATACATATGATTGCCCAGCAGGTGGTAGTCAATTAAACACTCTCTGAGACATAAAAGCTGTGTATCAATTCAAGACTTTGCGAATGCTTACAAACAAAACAAAGGTCCTGAAATAAATAAATGTTTCATATAAGATATCGTAATTCAATTGATACTGCAAACAGTTATTAGAGTTGTTTCATTATATTGTGACTTATAAACCATGAACAAAYGAAATAAATATTTGTAGATTAAACTAAATTGTTTAGCTTAAAGTACACGCAAGTAAACGCAGAGAAAACTAAATCAAATTGTTCCTTTTATCCCCAACAATCCCTAATAATCGAAAACAATCCCTAATAATCGAAAACAAAAATCAGGCCAATCGGTGACGTCAGCGGGTGAAACCATATTGTTGCATTCATGGGGAGAATACGAGGAAAAACATGACTTGTCGTAAAGACTAAATAAATACTTTGYCTTCCGTAGTAAATATCGTCACGCAACATATAATCTATAGATCTCAGTATAGCTCAACTGTTTTCACTGTCTGTATTTTTACTTAGACGGATTACCATGCGGTTTCATCCCTCAGGTTTGAAACACGTCCACACACCCGGCACGAGGACGTGTGCCGTCGTGTTTGCAAGAGAAGGTGTAGCAGCAGCAGTGAAGCTCTTTGGCAGGATGTCCTCTCTTAAAATGGGTTATACAAGTCCCATTTTTGTACATTTTTAATGTGTTTTCCTCATTGTTAAGACTGTAAAATGTATAAATTAAGAAGTCTTTAAACTCTAATAGAATAATTTAATTTGAACAAAAATCCACAGCCCCTCCAACAGCAAAACAATTTTTTTTGCATCTCCCTTTTCAAGTAGGGGTCTCTGCGGAGGAGTAGGCGTGTCACAAGGAAAGGCGATTCTAAAGCGACACACCTGACTTGACAGACTTTGTTAAAGGGACACACCTGACTGGACAAGCAAAAAAAGAGGCGATACCGTACGTCACCACCTGATTGGACAAGAACAAAAAGGGCGTTACTGTACGGCACCATCTTTTCTGGAGAACCCCACTAGGGTCACATTTCTCCTGGTTAACCTTAGTGTTGGGGTCAGGGTCAGGCTGTATGGAGGTCAAGCAGGGTCTAAGGATACCGTCATGTAGGCCTCGTAGCCCACAGTGTTTATGCTTTTGACACGCCTACTCTTGTGACACGCCCACTTTGATTCCGCACATAACTG